GAAATTGAACCATAAGTCTTTTCGTGAATCTACGATCTGCTATGTAAAGGAAGTTATTTCTAAAACTCGCACTCCTCAATCAATGGTTGACCATGTTCGAGCATATATTTTTAGTAATAATCGCAGTGATTTTGAGAAGTATTGTTCTGCAGCTTATTATACTTTAATAACTTTAGATGAAAATCGCGTAAGTAATATTTACGAGTTAATTAAAAATAGTCATTTTAAATGACTAATTCCCTTATGAAAAAAATTATAATTTATCAATTAATGATGTTTAAAACTATTATTTTAAATACTTGATTCAAAGTGGTTATCGAACAGTAATTTTCTCAAATAGATCATTTTTATAATTGAATGATGGTAAATATATAATTTTCCAATTAAAAAACAAAGTTGATAAAAATTTAAGATAGTGTACTATCTTAACCCTTAACTGGTCACGTAATAAATTATGTATATATATACTGTACAGATAATATATTATAATTTTTTTATCAAATATTATAAATTTTAATAACGTTCAATCACGGTATAGTCATTCATACATCTGTTCCTCACGAGACGTATACTATACATATAAAAAAACAATACCTACGTCCAGCCATTTTGTACAAATTTTATCATTATGATTGAACCATAAATAACTTAAAAGCAGAGTGTATTCAACAATAAACTCAAAATTTTTAATCTTTATTTTATTAGTATTAACACCATATTTTAATTTTTTTTTTTCGTTTATGTTTTTCAGTCTCGACCATGGTTTGTTCTCGGTGAAAAATACTTAGCATCTCTTAAAAATGTTTTTCGATTTCCCCATCAATTGTGATTTGAAAATCTGAACTTGTTAAAATTTTAATAAGAAAAATGTAAAATAAAAATAAAAATTCTATTTAAATATTTCTATTGTTGGTGAAACCAATGTGGGTTAGAGGATTGTAACCCTCCTTCTATATGTTTAGTGATGTTACATTTTTTAGTCATGCATAAACAATTTTTTTGAGAAATTAATTTTTTTTTTGCTTATTTGAATTTTCTTAAATAAAGATTTAAAGTACACAATTTATGATAAAAAAATATAGAGGTCATAATTGAAATTAAATTGAAATTATACCCTACCCCATGAAATTATTTTCTGGTTGCACCACTGGTATTGATTAACTTTATATTTAATTCATAATAACTCATTATTGTAATAAGATTACAATTCAAAATATAATTTTGATTTTGACAATTTTATTTTATTTATCCATTTATTTCATAATTATTTATAACTATTTATTACTTTAAAGATTAAACGTTTTGTCAGACATTTTTCATATAATTTTGATTTATATTTATGTTTATTATAAAAATAATTTGTAAATACGTTAATTACATTTAACACAAATGTAATACAGTGTAAAATGTAAGGATATTTCTCAGCTACTGGATTAAAACTTTAAACTAGTTAACGTGATTGTTTTGCCACCATACTGTTCTGTATTAATTATCTGATTATTCTACTCAAATTAAATATTTATTAGGCTTTTTGTAAATTATATCAAATTAATTAATTAACTATTGAATAAACCTAAGAGTAATAGGAGCAAATAGAAGAATGCTTGGATATTTAGGATCCCTCGGTATAATGTTAGCATCACTAAGCTTATTTTATCATTCTTTTTAAGTATTGTAAGGAGAAATAAAAAAAATCCTTACATTATTGTTTAATTCATTACAGTTTTTTTAGCTTCGATGCGAAGCTGAGAAGGTATTGGTTTTACTAAGATGTGTTTTATTTTTTGTGTCTGTTACCACTTTTTCTGAGCTCTCACCGAACGGAATACTTTTTTAAAAGAAATTTTATTAAAAATGCATATAGAAAGTAGAACTTTTTCAACTTAACTTTTGAAAGTGTTCCGGAAGGTCTGACACTTATATATATCTTAAATTAAAGCTAATGTAATGTACTTTAATTTGAAAAAAAAAAATTTGATCTCTAGACTTGTCTTCATGGTGAAAACGGCTACCGAGTGCTATGCTTGTATGAAATTTCTCGATTTTATATTTTACATTTTTTACTTTAAAAGGCTATAACTTTTTAAAAAATGTATGGATAAATACAATTTTTTTATGAGAATTAATATTTTTTAATAATCTCTTTTTCATTCGACATACGTTATCTTAATCAGGATATTAATAAGGAACTAGCAGATCATGTAGCTTTTGGAATAATATACCAATTTTTTAAAATTAAACACTATCTAAAGATTTGCATCGAAGCGTTTTTTTTTTATAGTGATTTTGATCACGGTCAGATATCATTATACTTGATCCAACTATGCCACGTCACCACTGTGCCGCGACCCCCTTATGCTGGGTTTTTCTTTTAATATTGTAATTTTACAATACATCGGTGTAGTAAAAGTATTTTATTAAAACATACTAATATATTTTGGTTTCAACAATTATAGTTGAAATACTAGAGTAATAGGAAAAAATATATGTATATAATGTTATACATAATTAAAATACTGGAAAGGCCAAAGTCCAAAAAAAAATACATTTTTTTTTCATAAAATATGTAGTCATTACAAAAGTAAATAATCGGGTCAAAAATTTAAGTCAAACTCAGTATAGAACAAAAATAACGTTAAAACCAAAAATACCCTCATCATAGTCTATGCAATATAAATGAATGGTTTTTTTCTTCTCCTGTAAAATTTAGTTTTTGTCACTCTGCACCTTTCTCATACCATTAACAATTATTGTTAATTTATAAACATATAAAAAGAAGATTGGTACATTATTTTGAGCAGAGTGAGAAAAAATTCAACTGCTTTTTAAACTACAACCTGCTATTCTGAACTTTAAAAATATAAATTTGTATTAGAATAATTACAATTTTTCAAACATAATTATTTATGTTTATCATGGTTGGGATTTAAGATAAATTGATATCACAAAAATGCAGATCTAGTAAAAAATATAAAAATATATACATTGAATAATATGTTGTAACGGAACAACATTCGAGCAATGGTAGAATGAGTGGTGCTTTGTTTTAATTTTATTAGAAATAAATTGTAATGATAAATGTAATGATGGATTACCATATTAAACTATTCCTGAGTGTATTCAGGAACATTAACCAGATTTGTAAAATTAGGTATAAACAATTATCAAATTCACGGATAAAGCAGACGAAACACACTACAAAATCTTAACGGAAGGTGTTCAACACAAAAACGGAATCTTATACACCTTGTGGTCCCGAAGTCCTCACTAAATATGTTTATAAATATTATTGCAAATAATTATTTCATTTCTTTAACAATAATGGTTTTTTGATGAGCTGCTTTACATAAAAAATCAATTTTCTGCAACTATCTCTTATAGTCTTAATTAGGGTGACCATACGTCCCGTTTAAAACGCGATTTTCCAGTTGTCTCGACAAAATAAAAACGGAACGCTTTTTATCCCATTTTTTTATATTATTACTTAATTTTTATAAAAGAGAAAAAAAGTAAATTTCTAAAAAAATATAAAACACTTTTAAGTAGTCCCTACACGATCAATATTATTGTCAATTATATTGACGAGTTAGATTGACACGCGCGTCCATGTACTTCAAATAGCTCATCAAACTCAACCATTATTACTCATTCGATCCCAAATTTCAAAGTATTCGTGTTGTGTTCGAAGTGTTATTTTCGTTCTTGAATATAGTAAAGATGTGGGCGATGAAGATGATGATACACAGCTTGACGAATAGTAGGGGGATCTAAAGTTCGAAGTTGTCGGGAACGACGAAGGTGTCAACACAGATTGTGAAGACGTTAAAAAACTCACTTTATGCCTCGTTAATGTACACATTTTTGCTTCAAACCAAGTATCATTAATTATCTTTTACGCAAAATACCTTTTATCTGAATTAATTCTGCTTAACTTTAGAGACCATCCCTTAGCAACGAAGTCCGATTCGTTTTCAGGTTTTTTAAAATAGCTAAACCAACTAGCTCATTTGTCAAATCGTTTGAAGATGTACTTTTTCTTTAAAGGTAGAGGGATTGGCTGATCATTAGACAGTGTCTGTAGGTCATCACACAAATTATGCTACAATAAAATAAAAATAAAAAATGAATTTTTTTACTTAGGTACCAAAAACTGAAGTGGGTTGGAAACAGCTAGCTGAGAATTATGAAGAACAATGAAACTTTCACAACTGTATAGGTAGTGTGGATGGTAAATATTTATTGATTGACAAACCACCCTATTCTGGTTCTTATTACTACAACTACAAAAGTACTGTAAGTATTGTTCTCATGGATATCGTTAATTCAAAATATTAGTACATCATAGTAGATGTTGGAGCGAATGGACGAATATCTGATGGTGAAGTTCTGAAGAACACGATATTCAGGCAAAAGTTGTCTGAAAACCAATTATATATTCCTAATGCACGTGAATTATCCTGCTCAAATAAAAAGTTTCCTTACGTGTTTGTCGGTGATGAAGCTTTTTAACTACTGCCAAATTTTATGAAACCTTTCAATAGAGCAGTACTCACGGATGAAAAACGGATTTTTAATTATAGATTATTCCGAATACGCAGGATTGTTGAAAATGCGTTTGGAATTTAAACATCGAGTTTCAAAATATTAAATTTGCTCTACACAAGGCTCGGAAAATAGTGATGGCTTGCTGTCATTTACACAACTACTTGTCAAAAGAAATTATTTGTAAGTGATGATGTTGATTACGAAAACAAAGATAATGGTAGAGTAGAAGAAAGTTCATGGAAACAAGGAACTTAGCATATGACAGAACTTCGAAGAACAAGAGAAAAATTCAGCAGCTGAATAAAAAATATAAGAGATGATTTTTGCGAATATTTCAACTCTTCTGGCTCAGTTCCGTGGTAAAACAATTATTTGATTTAGAGCCATATGAACCACCTTTTTATTATTTGTTAAATTGTATTTAATTATAAAAACCATGATATAAACATTATAAACTAACACTTAACATTTTAACAATTTAATAATAATAATATAAATACCAAAATAATAAAATTTCTATTTCGAAATACAATATTAGAAAAACAATAATTACAAAAACACTCAATAATCCAACTATGTCATGTCATAAATAAAACTTATCGCAGCAAAACAACGACAGCCAATCAAAATCGAATGTTCCACCTCGTGGATTGTTTATCGTACCAGTTTTATTAGTAAAATAATTATCTAGGTCGTAAGTATAATTATAAAATTACGATTTCAATAGTATCAATCATATCTTTCACCAAATTTCATGTCAAAATACACATAAGTAAATAAGTAAACATTTGATGTTTACCCACTTCGGAAGTTTGAGTTACTGCTATCGACCTGGTCCTTGATACACAGCAGTTCGTTGTAATATCATACGTTGGATCTAGAATATCGTCCACTAGTACACCTGACCGTTTCTTATTTTCAATTGCCTTGTAGCATTTGTTAAAATTAGTGTACAATATTTTTATTTTTTGTTTCAATTTCTCTACTGTAATATCAGATTTGTACGGCTTTAAAGTGTCCAAAATTGTTTGAAGTGCTTTAGCTTTTTTATTCTTATTGAAAAAATCTGTTGATCTCAATTTCCACAGTTCAGGATGATCACGATATAAAGTTATCAAAAGGGTTAAAAACTCACGCTCGCCAACCGATTCGTCGCTTAGTGGTATCGATAGTTCCGCCATGATGCCTGACTGATAAATGATAACAATTTCGGAAATATTGGCAGTACACGCTTCTAGACGTTCAAAATGTTCTGTCAATCTTGCCATCAGCATAAACAACTGTTTTTAGCCATTAAGCTGAAAATTAAACGCAAACATAGACAATTAGTAGACCCAGTAAATGTTAGAGACAGGTCGGAAATAAAAATACTTCTTATTGATAATTTTGGGGAAAAAATTCATCCAGATCAATTATACGTTGAATTACAAACAATTAGACAAAATAAAATTGAAAAAATTAACGATTTTGGCGATAGAGAAGAAAGATTAAAATCTAAACTTTTTCAGTTCTATACTTATGAATTATCATGTAAAATAAAAAAATCAGCTATTTGGGATATGTGTGAAGATCAGGCCTTTGGCGCGTTTAAAAGAGGTCTTTACAATAACCAAATTAATATTATCGTGTTTGCTAATAATCTGAAAAATTTAAGCGAGGCAATCGTAATAGCTAAACACGAGGAACTAAGAATTAATACTGAAAATAATTTAGTTAAGTATTCATTAATTCAAATAATTCTAAAAATTTAATAACTCTTGTAAAATTTGCCATAAAAATAATCATAATACATCAAATTGTTTTTCCGTAGTAAAAAACATAATTCTCAAATCATTCAAAGTTTTAATAATAATAATAACGTTAATCATTTTGGTAGCAACAAAAATAATCAAAATAACGAAAAATTCTGCACTTATTGCAAGAAAAATTTTCAAAATAGAGTGGAATGTTATAAATTAAAAAAAACCAAGCGGCACAGTGATGACATAGCATACTTGGATCAAGTATAATGATATCTGACAGTGATTAAAGTCACTATCAAAAAAACAATTCGATGCAAATCTTTAGATAGTGTTTAATTTTAAAAAATTGGTGGATTATTCCAAAGGCTACATGATCTACTATTTCCTTATTTATATCCTGGTTAAGATAAAGTGTGTCGAATGAAAAAGGGATATAAATATTATCTCTCATAAAAAAATATGAATAACCAGTTAATTTGTATGTGTCTATTGGTAAAATCAATTATTTTTCTTTCAAGGGGAAACCTGTTATTATTTTCTGAGAAATGAATATTACTTTTTGAAATAGGTGATTTCATAAACCCAACCCAACCCAACACTCAAATACTTTGTTTAGTATAATACATAATTGAGATGTGGTGGGTCAAATGATCCAAGTTTTAAGACAGTTTTTTCGGGAAGTAAAAAAAAAAACAATTTTTTCTAGTAAAAAGCCCCCTTGACAGTTATGTTTCTAAAATTCACAAATATATATTGAAAATGATTTATAGTAGTGATATTATAAATTCAACAAATATAATTTATTTGTTCGGTTAATTAAAGTTTATATTTCCTTTTAATGAATTATAATTTTAAAAACTGCTGAAAAATAAATACGAGTTATATATTAAAAGAAGAATTTTTTTGTTTATTAATTTTGAGAAAATATATCATTATTTATTTAACAATTAATTAATTTTACATGAAAAAATATTTAATAACTATTTAAAGATTGAAAATAAGTAAAATTTTATTATTAGTTGATTAAAGAGTTAAAAATTTAAAATTGCATTGTTAATTAATAAATAAATTATTTATATGTTATTTTGTCAAAATATAATTTTATTTGTTTTATTTTATTAATGTTTAAAGTCTTCTAATCTATTACTAATGCCAGATGGGACAGAAAAAGTTTCAGTATTTATTGCAATACATTAATAATATATCAAACTAGATTTTAGATTTAAATTTATGTAATATAAAAATGACACTTACTTTACCATTCTGACTCTAAAACAAATAATGCAATAAAATGCAATAAAATGCAGCACAGGGGTGACGTGGCTCAGTGGTAACGTTGCATAGTTGGATCAAGTAAATTGTTATGTGACAGTGATTAAAATCACTATCAAAAAAACGATTCGATGCAAATCTTTAGATAGTGTTTAAATTTTTAAAAAATTGTTGGATTATTCCAATCGGACGTACTGCGGGTACAGTTAAGCTGCAATCTTATGTACGGGTTTTGGACGATCGGTAGGGACGTCCATACAGTAAAATATTAGTATATTACTATATTGGATAATTTATTTTTAGAATTAACTACGTGTACGATCGTCGTTATTCGTTTGTTATAATAGTATAATCTTTATTATTATTATTATTATTTTCATTTCTATTTTTTACTTCGACCTTTAAAATAATAATATGTGTAACCCCTTCAGTACTCACACTTCCTCAATTATCCTCAAAATTAGATCCCTCCTTCATAAAATTTCTGTCACTAGCAAAGTTGTTCACTTCCATTGGATTCCTGATCACGTAGGAATCCACAGTATTGAAACAACCGACCGCTTAGCCAAACAAACTTCAATTTTCTTTAATTACCACTCTTCTTTTCTTTTAAAATCCGATGCCTCTCATATTTTAAATCTTTCCTTATCTAAAGCTTGGTCAACCAAATGATCCTCACTTGCCTCAAACTTTGCTTAATGGCACCGATTAATCACCCCATATCCCTCAAATCTCCCCTGGTTCCATCGTCTTGATCTCCCCGCAAATCTTTCGTCGCTTTCTCCCACTTAAGAGTTGGTCACAATCTTCTACCCTAATTCGCCTTCAAACTTAACCATAATTCTTTCCCCTTCTGCAAGAATAATTAATATTTAGATCAATATACTAACATTGTATACATTGTATAAGACTAACATTAATATTATAATTAAAAGTTTCATGAACATAATAATTATATTCCTAAAACCGTTTTATAAACTACTATAAAAATGAATACTATGTACCTTCAATAATATTAATACTTGAGAATATAAAACTACTATTTAATAGTTGAAAACATTGTTCTTTATTGTATTAATGATTTATTTTATTACATACGAATAATAGTCTATGTTTTACAATTATACTAGATGATATCATTAATTAATTTAAAAATACTATTTTACTTTAAGTATTAATATCATTTCGACGAATGGATGAAAATTTATTTAACACATGATTAAATAATTATTGTAAAATATTTACTTTAAATAAAAAAATTTAGAAACTATAAAAAAATCCCTTGTAACAGAATTATCAAATTACTTCTAAAATCTTTTTATAATTTTCCAACTAATCTATTGTAAATTTGAAAGATTACACGTGTAAGTATGCATTTCGTAATACAAAATAAATCTTAATGTAATATAAAATTATGAGTAAGTAAAAATATGTAATTAGTTAATTCAATCATATTAATTATTTATTTATTGTAAACATTGTAAGTTGTACTTAAGCCTAAATCAATTTTTAAGTAGTAAACATTAATTTGTATTCATTTTATCTCTTATGTATTACTATGCCATTCGTATAGATATAAAGTTGATATGAAGCAATTTAATTACTCGAGAAATTTTATATGAAAAAATAAATTACTATGATCAGTTGTATAATATTTTATTTTTGAATTTTGTTGAACTAAATAAATTTTTTTTTAACGCCATGAGAGTTACAAAATTTATCTATTGTGACAATATTTTATTAATTATTTTTTTGTAACATTTCAAGTTATAGGGAAAAGATCAATTTTTATTATTGTAAAATGTCCGTCCAAAAAAAAAAGTCATGTTAGTGGCTTTAACTTAAGATATAGATATCAAACTTGGTAATTACCCCTTAAATATAGCTCGTTTAAGTTTTAAATGGGTTTAGGAACATTTTTTTATTTTATTTAATAAGTAATTAATTACTTGATTTTTATAATTAGCAATTAACTCGTTAACTAGAATCAAGCTGAAAATTTTATACGACAGATTCCAAATCAGCGACGTATTCCATTCAGAATCTACTATTATATTATTTAGATTAGCATCAGTTAGGTGGCGCGCTCCAGCCGCAACTTCGACACCTACTCACAAATCAACTCACATGGTTGGACTGCACTATTCCTCCCCTTCATCACCCTAAAGATGTAATATTAGGTTAAGTAAAATTTTTGTAAAAATTGTTGGTGTGTATTGTTTTTACGTGTGTGATTAAAAAATGAGTTCGTTTCCTTTCCTTTGTGTAATTTTTGTTGAATATAAGAAAACAACTGCTAATAAAGTTCCTATCTATTTAAATTATTATATTGAGAAGCGAAATTTAAGTGAATTTTATTATATTGTGTATAGGAATTAATTAATTATTTTATTTTGTGCTATATAATTTTGTTTCAAGTGTTTGCAACTAGCTAGTGCGCACCACTTTTCATCTGCGTTTCTGTGAGTTATTTATTGTTTATATTGTTGGTTGAGTCATTGTTGTCTAGTCAAAAATACATTTAAATAGTGAAAAATATTTCTAGTCAGAGTGTACACTAAGTCGGAACTTCAATTGACTTCTTTTAGTGTGTGCGCTAAGTCGGCACATTAAATATTGTGTTTTGTGTTGTTCACTGGTAGCCTTAAGTAAGCAACATTTTTTTCTTGTATTGCTAGTTACTTATAATTCACTTTTACCATTTCAACAAAGTTCTTATATACATTATTTTATTAGTCAACTTTTTATTATTAGCTTTAATTTTATTAGTCAATTAGTATTTTCGTGAATTATTGGTCTGTGTTTTTATTATAATTGAATGAATTTTATAGCAAAAAAAAAAGAAAAGTAATTTTTGTTATTAGTCGTGGAAATTTTTATTATTGTTGATTTTGTAGATTGAAAAAAGTATATTTTATACATATTTATTATTATTAAGTTGAAATATTTAAATTTTTTTTTTTGAGCCAAACAGGCTAGATTAATTATTTATTGAAAACATATAATTTTATACATTTTTATTTTGATATTATATATTTATTATTGATTGTGCCAAAGTGGTAATTTTACTTATTTATTTTAGTGTACCATGATGGTAATTTTTATATGTTATTGTAGTTAATTATTTATTTATTTTTGTTTATTTTTAATACAGTTCTATAAAACTGCATTTAAATCATTTGTTTTATTATTTCTTAGTTTTAGTTAAACGTCCATTGATACCTGGCCATTTCACTGCCCCGATAAGCATAGACGAACCC